GCTCTATTCTCCTCTGTCAGGTCAACACTATCCAAGCTCAAAGACAAAATCTCCTCAATTTTCGGGTCTGGTATCATATTAATCACCTAGCTTGCATCCTCCACCAGAACCATCGCCAAGCCATCTTCTCTGTTTTCACCTTCATTGCAAGATTACATCTCGCTTCTGGATCTGTAAATTCTTCTCTTTCACTTTCAGAGGCACAAGAAGTAACATCAATCTGCCTTACTTGTGTAGGATCCTTTTTCCGATCCTCCTCATCACAATCCTTCTTCTCCGAGTTTCTCCCACCGACCTCCTCCATCATGATCACAGAAGGAGGATGTACTTTTGTGTGAAGTCACTATAACTAGCAAATGCTCCATCTCCTGCTTATTTAAGGATACTAGGAGTGGTTTCAAATGGTTGTTTACAGGTGTCTATTACAAAGGTGAGGGTAGTTATGTCTTTATGGGCGGATATGGAAGAGAGTAGGGAGAAGTGGATGGGGTCATGGGTGGTAGGAGGTGACTTCAACATGGTTCTGAAGAGGAGTGAAAGAACTGGAGATCACTTTCACAGCCGTTGTGTAGAGGAATTCAAAGAGACTTTAGACAGGTATGACATTATTGATCTCCTTTTGGTTGGTGGTAGATGGATGTGGTCTAACCAAAGGAAGAACATGTCATGTTCCAGAATAGATAGATTTGTGACAACTACTGATATTCAAGAAGTTGTTGTTAACGTATGCCAGAAGAGACTGAATAGATTAACATCATATCACTTTCCTATTACTTTGGAATCAAATGGAATCAGGTGGGGACCATGCCCGTTTAGACTGGATGATAAGTAGCTGAAGGTCAATGAGTTCAAAGACAGTGTTAGAATCTGGTGGGCAGCGGTCAGCCCAGATGAGAAGGCAAGTTTCGAAATGGCTCAAAAGCTGAAATTGCTGAAAACAGAAATAAAAATGTGGTGCAGGGAAGAGGGGCGCAGGTATGATTTGAAACTGAACTCCTTGCTTGACGCTCTAGAAGCCTTTGATTTAAGAGGGGGAGAATGGCTCAAAGGAAGATGTGGTGCAAAGGGAAGCTGTGAGTTAAAGTGGCAACTTGCTTACAGTTGGAAGAAATAAGTTGGAGACAAAAATCTAGGGTTAGATGGGTGGTGGAAGGTGACCATAATACCAGTTTTTTCCACTGCCTGGCCAGTCAACATAGAAGGAATAATTTTGTGAGTTCAATGTTGTTTAGGGATAAGTTTGTGGAAGGGAATAAAGAGCTGGGAAGGGAAGCAAGTAATCATTTTGCTAGAATGTATGAGGAAGAGTTCAACTGGAGACCATCTTTGGATGGCATCAATTTCTGTTCTTTGGATGAGTCTAGTAGGCTGTCCTTGGAAGGTTGCTTTTCTGAAGATGAGATTTTTGAGGACTTGAGGGCCTGCAAAAAAGATAAGGCGTCAGGTCCCGATGGGTTTAATATGGGATTCCTCCAAGAGTTTTGGGATGTGGTTAAGGATATTGTGGACCTATTTAATAAATTTCATCGGTCCGGATCCTTTGTTAAGTCCTTGAACTCTACGTTTATTGTTCTTGTGCTCAAGTTGGAAGAGCAACTGATATTAGGGATTTCAGGTCAATTAGCTTGATTGGATGTGTTTACAAGTTGATAGCCAAAGTCCTTGCAAGGAGAATGGCTGAAGTCCTTCATATGATTGTAGGTGAGAATCAATATGGTTTTGGGGGAAGACAGATCCTTGATGTAGCCTTGATTGCCAATGAAGTGGTGGATGAGTTACTTAACAAGAAGGGGATGGGGTCTTTTGTAAACTTGATATGGAAAAGGCATATGACCATGTCAATTGCAAATTTGTGGACTGTATGCTCATGAGATCGGGATTTGGTATCAAATGGAGAAAATGGGTCAAAGTAGTGTATTTCCACCACCTCCTGTGATGGTTAATGGTGGGCCATTGTCTTTCTTCTAGGCTTCTAGAGGGTTATGACAAGAGATCCACTGTCCCCATTACCCTTTATGGTGGTTATAGAAGGGCTGAGTAAAATATACTCAAGACTAGAGACATTGATTTATTCCAGGGCTTAAGTGTTGGGGTGGGGTAGAGAAGAGAAGAGCTGACCCATCTATTATTTGTTGATGATGTACTTCTATTTTGTATTCTAGAACGGGGTGCGTCGTTGAATTTGAGGTTTACTCTTATGGGCTTTCAGCTGTTTCTGGTCTTAACATCGATATAGTTAAATCCAAGCTAGTCAGATTAGGCAAAACGGAGGAGCAGGTGAGTTTGGCCACTGTATTGGGCTGCAGAGAGTCTAATCTCTCTATTAAGTACTTGAGCATTCCCTTGGGGGCCAACTATAAAAATACAAGAACATGGGAGCCTGTTGTTGACAGATTTGATAGCCAATTGGCTGGGTGGAAAGAAGGGCTTCTATCTAAAGGTGGACAGCTTACCCTCATCAAGAGTACTTTGTATAAATTACCGATACATTATCTCTTTTTGATTTCCATCCCGGTTAGTGTTGCTAAGAAATTGGAGGCGATCCAATGCAGATTTCTATGGGGTAATGTGAATGATAGACGGAAGTTTCACTTGGTGGCTTGGAAAGAGTTAAAGAAGCCTCTTGCTATGGGTGGCTTGGGTATCCTTTCACAAAGTTAAAATCTGAAATGAATTTTCACTTGGTGGCTTGAAATGAATGTGACTCTTCAAGGTAAATGGTTGTGGAGGGTTATGGCTGAGGAAGGGATTTTATGCCAAAGGGTTATTACTGCAAAGTTTGGAGTGGAAGGCAATGGGTGGTTCACTTGCTCGGCGTTACACTCTCAAGGGAAGAGTTTGTGGAAGAAAATTGGGGCTGGGAAGGAAAAAATGGTGGAAAGTGGGAAGAGGTTAGAAAGTTTGTTTATGGACTGATCGGTGGATTGAAGGGGGACTGCTCAAGAATCAATTTTCCCAGATTTACAGCATTGCCCAAAAGAAAGAAGCAAAGATCTGTGAGTGCTATGAGGAAGTGTGAGGTGGAAGGGGAGGGTGGCAGGTCTTGATTTCTAGAAACTTGAATGATAGGGAAGTTAATGAGTATGAAAGGCTGATGGTTGTTATTTCGAGCATGACCTTGGAAAATAATAATGATGAACCTGTGGAAGCTAACCAAAAATGGTCTCTTCACAACAAAATCTTGGTATCACTGGCTTATTAAAAGCAACAGTGAGACAGTGTGATTTCCTTATAAATAGGTTTGGAAGATGAAAGTCCCTCCTAGGGTCTCCTTTTGCATGGGAGGCATGTAAGGAGTGTATCTTAACCATTGATAAACTGAGAAGTAGGGGGATGATCCTAGTGAATGGTTGTTTTATGTGCAGAAAATAAGGAGACCTGTAACCATGTTTTGCTTCGGTGCCCAATGGTGTATGACCTGTGGTCTGTGGTATATAACATTTTGGGATTAATTTGGTGGTGTCTGGGTCGGTGAGAGAAGAATTAGAAGCTTGGAAGTTTCTGAAGGGGAGATGTATGTTTGCTGATATGATTCCACTATCTATCTTTTGGTTTGTATGAAAGGAAAGGAATAGTAAGGCTTTTAAGGGGATTGAAGATGTGAGAGGTTTTGATGTACTTAAAAATAGATGGATCACCCTTGATCTTGGTATATAAGACCCTTGATTTTTTGTTGTTGGGTTTGGTCAAGGAGGAATTTAAAAACCTTTTTGCTACAATGAATACTTCGTAAATTTGTACATGGGTTGCACCCCCTTGATGCTCATAGTTATATACTTTCCATTTTGTATTTCAAATATGTATATATACATATAAAAATTAATCATAATTTACACACCTAATGCATGATAAGATCAACTTTACTTGAATCATCCATTCTATAACTACAGATTTATATTCCTGCTTGTCAAGGTATAAAAAAAAAACCAACTTAAATTTGATATGAAATTAACTGGGAACTTGAATATTATTCTTGGTTCAAATTTTGTCATATTTATATTGTATATTATTCCTGTTATACTAAATTAGAATTTGAAACAAACTCAACGTTGCAGATATAAAGGCACAATCAACCATCTTTTGCAAATGATGCCACCATTTGCAAGGATCATGTTATAGTTTTTTTCCAAAATTTACAAACTTATTTTTGAATATATATATATATATTTTGTTCCATTAAATTTTGGAAAGAAAATAGGTCACTTGATAGACATGTGCTTGTGCATTGTCACTGACACGTGATAACATGAAATAAACATACTAGATGAAAAAAAGCCCTAAATTCAAAAACTAATGGTTTGAGAATGTACCAAAATATTAATATTAATAAACTAGTATAGATCAGCAGAATAGTCACAGATTGAAAGACTAAGTAAATGGTTGAAAGTAACATCTTTAGGGGCAAATGCAAAGAAAATATTATCAAGATGTCCTTGGTCAAAAGATGTGCCAGGGAAATTTCAAGTGCCTATTCTTTTAGCAATCCTCAACAAGAATGGTGCCAAATTTATGAAATACTTGAAGATTCCACACCATTGAAAATATTGCCATGACAGACATAATCTTCACAATGTAAATATTTTGTATAGAGATGGCACCCCCTTGATGCCATATACGTAATATACATGTTTTAATTTTTAAAAAAAAGGACATAATCTTCATAATATTAAGTAGACGACATTCTGTAGTATTAGGTTATGTAACTATGTTTCCTAATAAATTCTTTCCTTTGATACAAAAATATGGTGTTAAGAAGCACTATTTTTACAATTTTATGTAACCCGAACACAATTTTTTACAAGTCTGTCAAAATATCAATTAACTACTCACAGTTTTTCCTGATAACTCACCCCTGGTTAAACATTTGAAAGAATCAGAATATATGAAATTCATTATGTAATTTGGCAGAGTAAAAAAGAAGGAAAGATAGACGGAAATCCACAATCATGGGGATCGAAAACACACAAAACCAAAATCAGAGGGTTTTAAAGAACTCAATCGCAAGAAAAGATCTATCTAGTTTTATCATTAAGCAATTTGAAAAATGAAATTATAGTTTTGCCTGTGTATTTATAGGAAATAACAATGAAATGAGAATCCTGACTATACATGAAAAAACAAACCTATTTATATGACAAATCTTTACTAGTAAGTAGGAAAATAATTCTAAATAGTCCAGCATCACTAGTTGAGTAAACAATTAAGGTACCATGGACCATTGACCTGGACTGAAGGAGAGCCCTGCCCAACTACCCTCTCCAACACCACAATCCCGAGGTAAAACTGAATAAGTAAGCTTATCAGCATCTGAAAATGTCAAAATAAACATTGGTAAGAAACACCTGTTATGAAACCAACTCAGGAGTGGAGTCAAACAAATCCACCAGAAATTCACAAACATGCATATTGGTAGGATTTAGTAACTTTGCTAATTTGACTACAAGCATCATTAAAAGATCCTTCAAGCCTGGTGACCCTCTTAACAGATGGTCCTAACTAGTAAATAATTGAAACAAAAAAGGAACGGATTAGAAAATCCACCATAGCCGGAAAGCAAAACAAGGGGAAGAAAAGAGGAAAAATGTTTTCCTTGGATTCCTTTTGAACAATCAGCAGAGAATTATTAACTAACCTGAGTTGATCTAGAAGAAACAGAAAAAAACTGGGATTTAAATTATGGCAAACCATTAACCATCATAGCAATAGATTGAATCAAGGATAAGAATAAACCAATAATGATTAGGTGCCTATGGAACTTTAAGGAAAATATTTTTTTGTACTCATCAATGGGATGGAAAAGAAACATGAGAGGGTCTTGCAACACCTCATAGGAAAAGAAAATGATTTATTTACTATTGCTTTATGTGACCATTGCTATGGAAGAAGACCACTCAAGAAGGCCTCACCCCACAGTGGCACATTGCTACCCAGTTGTGTTTGTAATTAATCAGTTTGACCTGAAAGGATAGATATCTATTTTCTCACTTCTAGGTCAGGCACTGGTTGCTAAAAATCAACTTGCAAAAGAAGTAAACTTGGCAACAAAAAGATGAAATTATATATCGATTTCTGAATTTCAAAACACTGAACATTGTCAAGATTTATGACCGTGAAAAATTTTCTTCTGACTTTACCATAAATTATGCAATATCCATAAGATAGATAAAGAGTATGTACCTTTACCACTACCATCCAGTTTAGATACAATAAGGTGACCATAAGAATCTACACTTCCCAGTACCAAATTGCCAGGGCCTACAATGTAAATTATTCAGAGAAGAGAAGTCAAGAGACACGATAATGAAAGTTGTTCTTAAATCAATTAAGGAAAAATTGTCTGCACAGTATTATCTGATACGAATGAGTTCTTTGTCAAAAGAAAAAAAATGCCAAGGAATTCCAAAGATAGATGCCTGTGGCACTACCTAGTTATTTTGACGATCCAAATCTTTCCAACAAAAAAAATATATAATCACGATTTACACTCCAACCAGAGCCAGGGTGGGCAAAAAAGGCACATGCAAAACTGCATCAAAAATAAAATAGACAAGATATTGCACCATGCAGACAATAGAATAATCCAATATGACGTCACAGGGTACATGATCTGATGTTCCCTAAAGCTTTTAAATTGAAGTGCTTGAACTATGCCCAACAGCATATAAAAAGAAAAAGGGAACAATGACTGGAAGAAGAAAACAATTATAAAGGACATAATATCATTTGCATAAGTATTGATTGACTGCTTTAAACGTCACATAACAGCTTTTCTACACGACAGCTTTTTTCACTAGAGATAAATCATAATCATAAGACAGAAAATTAAATCTGAACCATTTGATCACGATTTAATTAGAATTAAATCTGGGCCGTCTGTGCATGCGGGAACGGATCTGCGCCGTCCAATCGCGCGCACGCGGATCGCCCACGTGGCCCGTCCCCTGGTCAGCGTTTCCTTGCCACGCGGCGCGTCCTGGTTGGCCGGGGCTGCTGATCGGGCCGCTGACGTGGCTGCTGACGTGGCACAATTTTTTTAAATTACGTTTTGACCCCTGATTTCCGATTTTCTTTTTAAAAATACCTCCATAATCCAAATTTTCACCCATTTTTTCCAAAATCAATTTCAATTAAATCCAAATAATATTTTTACCCAATTTTATCACTATTATTATTTTTATTTTCATTAAATTAAATTAAATAAAAATCAAACAAATAAATAAAAATAAAAATAAATAAAATAAAAAATTTTATTTTTATTTGGGTGTTACAATGTCGCCAAACAGTTAAACAGAGAATAAATGCACATACCAAATGCGAATAAAAGACCCACTTACTCTCAGCCTCATTGAGTACTATACTTTGGATTTCTGAACGATGAGGGCATCGGTTGACTAACATAGAGTCCATAACCTAAAAAGGGAGCAGGACTAACATATAGTTAATTTTTCTTTTTCCTTGTTTCCTTTAGAATATAGTGACTAATTCTTTAAGAAAGGGACAACACAGGTTAATGTCATAAACAAGTACCACTGTCTGTACAGGGATGAGAAGGCTATCTTTCCCTTTGCTGATGAAAGTATCTTCCATTGATATCTATAAGCAAAAAGAAATAAGTAACTAAAATCATTCTTGTATTTAGCAACCAAAAACAAAATAAATAAATAAATAAAAAGAGTCATTCTAAGAAAAACATCCACCTGGACTGTGGCATATCAGTAATCAAACAAGTAGAGGTCCAAAACAGATTGTATTAGAAATCATGAATAAATTAACACAAATGTGTCCAACTTAATTTCAAAACCACCACATTCATCTCAACCCAAAAAAATACGCCATGAGGTATGGGAGGCTGAAAGTAAGGAAAAAAAGAACAAGTCATCAAATTTGAAACTAAATACTTATCATCTTCCATAAAGTTCCTTTCCATGTTCTTGGAAACTGAGCAACTATCCATAGAAGCACAAGCATTCTTCCCAAGCAAAGTATTCTCTCTCACACAAGCACATGATTCTTCCTCATGACTCAACAGAATTCATACCAATAACTTCGCAAATAATACATGTATACACATGACATGAGCACCAAAATGTGAAAAATTAAATTATTGTTCTAATTCTACTTTGAATTTCACTTTTCAAGTGAGATCAATTCCTATTATCTACCAAAAATTTTTGAATTAAATATAACTTTTACAAATGAATTTCACAAAATTTACGTATTTGTTTTAAAGGAGTAAGCCAAAATGGTTTTATTCTAACACTCAAAATTTGCTAAACAGAATCAGAGATCTAACCTTACCCAACATGTCCAGTTAACATTCATTCAATCAAAGAACATATGTTAACACAAAAGAGAAGTCCAGTGTTTGTGTATATTCAAGGTAAAAGAACAGTACCTGGAGCTTGTAGACCTGACAACCGGAAGCTATGTAGACCCAACAAGAAGAGCCGTCAACATTAGCCTAAACACAAAATACAAATAAACTGAATTCACGTGAGGTAAATAATTGTTAGAAAAAAAGAGGAATTTGAAATGTAAAAGTAAAATACATGGAGAGCCAGGCGAGTAGACTGAAGATTAGCAGGAGATGGGTTCTGAATGAGAGTTGACGGTACCACCGCTTTTCTCAGACTACTGGCCTCCAACTCCATTGTCGTCTTCTTCGCTCCGCTTGGTTCCTCTCTCGTGTGTTTTTCACGGTCGATACCGGATGTGGCGTTTCCGGAGAAAAAAGTTTCGTTGGGAGTTGCAGCCAGCGGGAAGAAGTCGGGTTTTGTAGTTTTACTCGGCCACCTGCAAGGGTTTTAGGGTTTAAGGGCCCCGACCCATTTCTACCGCCAATCAAAGAGCCTGCAGCTTTCAATAGCAAGTTGGACCTTGATCACTTGTTAGAGGTATTTAAGTGTGGTGTTGAGTTTAACGAATTTGAGTCCTCTGATTTTATTACTTAATTTGTGATGTATGATTTTACTTAACTCAGAATTAGTAAATAAATACTTGTAATTACACAATACTCAACCTAATACTAAAATTATAGTACTAGTTCGAGGTTGAGACATATAAGCCCATGCTGAGTATTAGAACAACTAAAGATGCAATGGATAGTGTGCTAAAAGAAGGTATTAAATTTAATCTAGTTTATTTTTTAATTGTAAAAAAAAATATATTAATATTTTTAACTGTTATACCTATTTCAATTAAAATAATATAATTATCATTTTTTTTTTCTAAACAAATACATCACTATTAAATAAAACTAAATTTAACTTGATCATTACAATCCCACCAACATATTAAAAAATTATAAATTCTAATATTTTATTAAATCAAATATTATAAATTAATCATGATCAACTCAGAGTTCACATAAAAAATAATAACTTTGTTTTTTAGTGAAATTAAATTCTCGCAACTCTCAAGTAAAAAGCAAGGATCTTTAACCATTAAACTGTCATTTTAGAGCTAAGATTTTGAACACATAACAAAGAACTTACAATCCATCCATAACTTTAATCTTTTCTTCAAATTTATATGAATTCTGCATAAAAGATACTTCTATTCCATAAAATTAAAATTTAAATCAATTTTAACATAATATAATACAAAAATTAAGAATTGAACTCTCAAAAATCCAAGTCTGACCAATAAGTTTTTTTTTCCATTTAAGGAGTCATCATTGAATCCATGCACGGTAAGGTCAAAAAACAACCTTTCACAAAGTTTAAATCTGAAAAGAGTTGCCCTGTCGTACTATGGTTATGATCCCTTTAGGTCTCAAGCAGAATCCCTAATCACACACTAAATCCGATTATAAATGAGATAAGCTGAAAACATTACCAACACATCTACTGGAGGGAGATAAAAACCATGCAGAAACAGTGAAGCTGAAAAAAAAAACACCACTAAACCCAAGCCCTTGTAACTCATAGCTCGTTTAAGTATCTCATACAATCTGCACAATTTATCAAAGCCATGTCACTGAACCATTTTCATCAGATGAAGTTTTCGCTATTTTTCCCTGAGTTTGGAAAGCTGCTACAAGATATTAGGATTTCCTAATTCATTAATAACGAGTGTGACAAAGGAGAAAAAGAATATTGTCAGAATGAGAGATGTAAAAGAGAATAAAATGTCATTCCTATTTTCACACTGCAATCAGTTTCAAGGCTAACAACGAATGGCAGCTTCAACACAAAATGGAGAACTTCCATTTAGCTGAAGTCTGTGTCTGATTCCTTAAAATTCACTAGAAGAAGAAATATATTACCGACAATGTGCTCCCTTCTTCCTCTGCCAACATTTTTCTGCTTCCTCTAATACCTTGTAAGCTGTTCCATAATGCCACTCCAAAATAATACTAAAAAATAACAATAATCACAAAAACATCATAAATGATAATGATCTTAGACAAAGTTTCAGACTTAAACCAATAACCATCCAATTATAGATTGGGGCAAAAAAGACAATATTTCCTCTCAAACTAAAATTAGGTGATACTCCTGCAACGAAGAAAGAACTCATCCTCAACAAATCTTTGCCATCCAACTATGGAAAGAAATCCACAAAGCCACCAATTCTACAACTGTGCTTGTCTTCGCATAAAAACTTAATCATCAAACATAAGCCATTTTCATGAGTTCATTTGTCCATCATAGGGAAAAGTATGAAAACAACTATTCCTGCAAAAAACCATTAAATAGGAAACAAAAATTTGTAACAAGGTATATAGGAAAAAAAGAGAGAAATTAGTTGTAAACATGAAATGTACATTCTCAAAAACAGCATTTTCATAGCTTATCAACCAGGTTCTAGAAAAGCACCCATAACATTCACTTTCGAGGATAAAGCAAAATATCTGCAACATAGCAACAACATAAAATTCAAAATGGCCATCCTCAGACATTATGGCTTGTAGACAGAAATAAAATAAAATATACAGCTGCAGAAACATAGGAACGCAGTACCATAATTGAGTATTAGGTGTTAAAGAATCCCATAAATGCTCCTTAGTTGAATATTGGTGATATGCAATCAAAGAACGAACATTCTTTATTTGAGGAAAAGAAACACAAAGCAAAGTTCTAGGCAGGAAAGTCATACAAGACAGGGTAGCAACACCATAGGAGAGAAATAGGTTCACATGGTTCCCAAAATATCGCTGATAAATAAACTAAAAACTGATATATACTGCAAGGCTAAGCACAATATAACCATAACAATAATGAAAAATGACCTACATAGAGCACAGATAAGTCAGTCCATCATGCGGATTTACCAAAACACGGTAGTAAAAATCAAAACAATAGAAGCCCAGACTGTAGTCTGACACTTAAACTCAATAGTTCTAAATATGCTCAAACAAGAAAACAAAATAAAAGGAAGTAAACAAAATTATTAGCCATTTTGAGATTTAGGATTTCAAAATAGAGATGCTTAATAGCAGTGACAAAAAACAGACGCCCTCAGATCTCATAGCTCAATTGGCTCATTGGTGGACTTGAACTGGTTTTCATTGAGAGCCTATCTACATCATCCATGCCAAGGAAGGGAGACAAACAAACAGATGGATAGATAGAACAAGATAGAGAGGGAAGAAGAAGAAGAAGAAGAAGAGAAAGATAGAGTGAGATGATGAGAATGAAGACAAGATTGGTGATCATAAACAGGCTCAGAGTGAAATACCAGTCATCAACCTCTTTAATATATCTTTTCCATCACTGGGCAGTTGTAAAAAAAAATAATAATAGTGTAACAAAAGTCAATATCTATAAGCTAAATCATTATACACCGAACAGAATTAGAATGGGAAAGGACTGCAAGGAGCATTTCCAATAAATATGAGAAGATAAGAAATATAAAAACATGTTTCCATGACTTACAAATCACCGTCTGGAAACTCACCCAAAAATATTTACAGTTGATATTACATGATAAAGTCCGAATAGTGCTCCTTTATTGTGCATTAAATTATATATAATCCAATAAGTATATTCTTCATGACACAAAGCAAGGTGATAGGACTTGATTAGTCACATAAGACTCAGAAGAAATAGCAAAGGACACCAATAGATTGACTATTCACAGGGACACGTTGCAAGAATTGGCATGTCGTAAAGGTGGAATTTACAAAACATAGCAAAGATAACTCACTCAACCCATAATGCAAAGTCTGAACATGGAAATCCCAAGTTACAGAAGTAGTTTCTCTGCCTGTTGGTCAGATGCTTAATTCAGTAGCAAGTTTAAAATATGCTGAAATGACGGAAAATAGCAATGCAGGATAATAATTTACTTGCCAATCATGAGACAGGTGAATCTTAAGATAGAGATACTCCATAGAGAAGAGAAACTACAACCGCCCTCAGATCTCATAGCTAAAATTGTTCACTGGTGACCTGAACTGGTTTACATTATGAGCCTATCCACATCATCATCCATGCCAATCAGGGAGAAATATAAATAGATAAATAGATAGAAAAAGAAAGAAAGAAAGAAAGAGAATATGATGACAATGGTGATGATAATGAAAAGGCTCAGAGTGAAACCCGAATCATCAACCTCGTCAATATGTTTTCCATCATTGGGCGTTTGCAACCAAGAAAAACATTAAGTAATTATATATACACCAAGAACTGCAAGAATGAGAACCCAGCGCGTATATACCATATATGCGAACATGTAAAGCAGAATTAAGAAAAAGAAAAGTCAATGAGAAACTAAATCCGATAACTCCAAACACATAACAAAAGTCGTTCCTAGAAATAATAATTTGAGCAAAGTTAAATGACGAAAAAAATAGTGGGTAGCAAACTGAAGGCCCTCAGATCTCATAGCTTTTAAACTGATCATCCGCGGATTAACGCTAATGGAATCCACCAAAAGCCCCTGTGCACACCGCAGCGCATTTACCTGTGCAAGCGTGCGAGGGTATATATTTGTGTGTGTGTGTGTGTGTGTGTGTGTATATATATATGTATAACCACGAGGAAGATGAAATGACGTAGCGGTGGCGAGCAGTGACCAAGCAGATGAACGCAAAAACGCCCAAAAGCAACCGCTCTACACATATCTTCTGCATCATTGGGCCAAGAATTAGGGTTTACGAGTTCAAAGTGCGCCTTACAGCATACATTGGAAACAACTAGTTTTTCTTTAAAACCCTTAAAAATAACGGCAGTACAGAGAGGAGAAACTACGAATACGCGCTTTTGCACTCAGCTCAGATCTTCTCGACGCCGACGGAGACGGAGCAGCAGTTGACAGGCAGAGAGCGAGGAGAAAGAGCGAAGATGCTAGGGTTTATAAAGATTGGTGCCATAAACTACTAAAATACCCTTGATTTCGGCATGAAATATCATGCTATGTAACCGCTCAAACTTATGGGCAGTTTACTTTTCTTTTAAATTAATACGACGTTGTTGACTGCCGTTTCAAGCCTGGGCTTACAAGGATTCGCCATTGGGCCAAAACTTTTTTAAGCCCAAAATTTAAGGTCATTGTAAAAATAACAAAAATTATATTAAGTATTATTGTAAATAATATTCTCTAAAACAATTTAGAAAGAGTAATTTAGTAGTTAAAGTTTGATTTAATACATAAAAATATTTTTTTTTATTTTATATATTTATACATATTTATGAGAAAAGCTAAATAAAAATTAAATATTTGTTAAATAATTAAAATACAAATAAAATAATTTTTCAAAAAAAAAATAATGTTCTAAAAATTTCAACGTCTAATATCATATTCACTGTGATAGCTTGAAAATATTTTTGAATTAATTTTTTAAATTTGATACATTTAATTTAGTTTTGCATGTATTTAAAAATATATAATAAAATTACTTACATAGTTTAGAATCAAACGGAAAAAAAAAATAGATAATGATAAAATAGCTAGAATAAGCATGAA